AGGCTCTGTGTGCTTCTGCCTGCATCACTCAGATCCACTCATGCCCCTCCTTAGGTCATGCTGTCACTGCTTCTCCAAGGTCACAATTTCTTAAAAGTGGAGGAGGAAAGAGAGGAAGAAAACCTTACACTAGGAGGGTTAGTGGGATAAGCTACACTACTGTAGCTGGTGCTAAGGCTGCAGCGGAGATTCTTCCTTCTCTCCATCCATTCTAGACTCCCCCTCGCTCTCAAGCAGCACTTGATGCTGGTCTAGATGGCTTGTCTGGTGGGTAACCCAGACCTTCATTTCCAAGGGGTCGGAGCTCCGACAACTGTGTCCTTTTCAGGCTGGGGTGGTCACCGTTGCCCATATGTGGATAACGTATCACTGGGCACGAAGCACCAAGGGGTGCCCACGACTCTCCTGCGTGCAGGCCCGCTCCCCCTGCTCGCGATAGGTAGCAGCAACCCCATCTCCCCGTGATCGTCAGGCTGGCTTACCTGCCGGGATAATCCCCCTGCCCCAAGTGTGTGAGAGGGTCGGAGCCAGGCACAACTGCTAAGCGTGGGAGGCTCCGGGCACCACATGGACTCTCTCTCTGCATCCTTTCGCTTCTGCTCCCACTGCTACCTGAGTGCTCATCTCCATGTTCTCCCACTGAAATTCCTGAGAACGAAAATTTGATAAGCTCACATCCTCTCTGATTTCCAGGCCAGGCCACCCCAGAGGCCACTGGCTGGTCTCTGAACAGGCCAGCCTTGAGTTTGCTGTCCACTTGGTTATCTCAGTCAGCTGAGGTCAGAGGGGTTGGAGGTCACATAACACAATTTTGGGGGTCTAGGGCTGCCTCATCAGCAGGGGTTTGGCCCCCCTTAGACGAGGCTGTAGGTGTGGCCGGCACAATGTCTGGCATATTTGGTAAAGAAGCTGTAGTCCTATGGGACAGCCTTTTGTCACCAACCCTCCTAGTCATACGGTTAATTCATAATGAACTTATAGCCCACTGAGTGTAGTTTCCTAATTTGTAAAATAAGTGGGTCAAACTAAGATCCTTCTAGCTCCAAAACGACTGATAACTGTCTCTCCTCTCAGACATTTATACATAAACTATTTTTAAGCCAGGACTGCCTCCAACCTATGCTTATGTAATTTATTTTTTGAGCCCCAAGTTTCATTTTTCAACAGATTCTAGCTGTTTTATTTATCTTTATTATATTTCAGTCTGTGGTTGGAGCCATCATTTTGCTCTGCTGCAATGTTTGAATCATGAGTTTGCCTTTTGGTGTATTTGCTTTTCTTTTCTTTTTTTTTTTTTGTGGTACGCGGGTCTCTCACTGTTGTGGCCTCTCCCGTTGAGGAGCACAGGCTCCAGACGCGCAGGGTCAGCGGCCATGGCTCATGGGCCCAGCCGCTCCGCGGCATGTGGGATCTTCCCAGATGGGGGCACGAACCCGTGTCCCCTGCATCGGCAGGCGGACTCTCAACCACTGCGCCACCAGGGAAGCCCTATTTGCTTTTCTTTAGAGCTCTGTGCCATCAGCATATATGAATGTGCTTTCTGTGTCACCATTCAAGACAGGGCCAAGCAGAGGCCTAGGGCACTCACTGGAGACCTATTGGCACTCTGCCTTCAGTGATCAAAGAGCTGCACGAATCCCCTTAATAGTGCTGTCAGATGGCCCACAGTCCTCCCTCCTGACTCTGAAGCTATTTCAACAGACTTTTAGCGATGCTTTTGCTAAAATTAACACCTACTATGTCTCCAGCCATGAACCCCTTGAGTGATGTCAGATATCATCTAGAAAATCCCATATTTTACAGATAGGAAATTGTGACTTGCCCAAAGTCACACACTGTGGCAGGGCTGGCTTCTTTATCTATGCCATGTTCTTTGCATTACATCATGCTTCCTCCACAGTTCAGGAAACTTATCTCTTGCTGCCATCACAAATTACCACAAATTTAGCGGCTTACAAAATACAAGTTTCTTATCTTACAGTTCTGTTGGTAAGAGGTCTGACACATATTTCACTGGATTAAAGTCAAGGTGTCAGCAGGGCTGGTTCCTTTCTGGGGGCTCTAGGTGAGGATGTGTTCCTTCGCCTCTTCCAGCTTCTAGAGGCTGCCTGAGTTCATCAGCTCGTGGTTCCCTCCCTCTAGCTCCAGAGCCAGCATCTGCAGGCGGAGTTCTTCTCATGTCATATCTCTCTGCCCCTCCTTCCATGGTTGAATCTCTTTCTTCCCATGGCCCTGAAAGCTTCATCCTTCCAAAGACTTGTGATTAGATTGGCCTCCTGGGATAAAACAGGATGATTTCCCCATCTAAAGGTCCTTAACTTAATCACGTTAACAATTTTATCAGGTAAAGTAACCTATACTGTCCACGGGTTCTGAGGATTAGATTGTGAACATTTGGGGGAGGCCATTTTTCTGCCTGTCACATGCTATCTGTAGATTAGGACCTCCTGGAGTCAGTCAGTGGGTTAAGGTAATGAAGATGGACAGAACCTGACTTTCAGAGTCTCAGGAGACTTCCTTGACTTCCTGATGTTGGCTGGACTTCACGAAAGTTTATACAGATGAGCCCCTTTTTAAAAAAAAAAAAAATTTACTTCACTGCACCAGGTATTACTTGCAGCATGAGGGATCTAGTTTCGTGACCAAGGATTGAACCTGGGTCTCCTGCATCAGGAGTGTGGAGTCTTAGCCACTGAACCACCAGGGAAGTCCCTAGATGAGCCCCTTTCCACACAGCACATTCTTTTCCGAGGCCCTCATAGCTGGGCTCCCTCCTCTTGTTTACTGTAGAACCACTCCCTGAAATAAGCATGGAGGGGTCAGGAGAGGGCAAGAAATGGGCTTTGGTGTTTGTCCTCTAGGATCTCAGATGAAATTATGATCCTGGAAAAGCTGAAATGTACAGCACTGGCCCCTCAGCTCTGAGAAGCCCCCAGGCATTCCTGACATTTGGGTAGGTGAGGTGCAGCTCAGAGTTACAGCTGTCCTTTCTGATGTCCAGCCTCGAAAGGAAATGTACATGTCAATATCGCAAAGACCCCATGTGGGACACATGGGGAAGGAGACGTACTCTGCTCTCATATCTTCTTCACAAAAGAAGGCCACACGATGGTCTAGGACTGAGGGAATGCGGAGTGTCATAAGGAGATGTGTATCCATCACCAAAAGAGCTAAAGAGGACAGAAACACAGACCGGCTGGCCTAAGACATCCAAGGCATTGTGGGCGTGCAGTTTAGCTCATCCAGTCCCATTTGGGCACCCTCCCTCCTAAAGCCTCCCTGAGGGTCGAGTTAGGCAGCATGCCCATTGATTCCTTTTTTGAGCACACACTCATTTGAAGATGGGTTTTGGCATTTTACCTGGCATCCAGGCCCTGTTGCACACGGGTTCTGAAAACTGGGACATTATCTCCAGTTTACAGAATTCCTGCAAGTGTTCCTGCAATTGATTCACACACACGCTGTCCCTACGCCCCATGCCCTGTGCACCACAGGTACCAGTACCCTGACCACGCCCCCTCACTCCTGCCACCAGCTGCTCTATGCACTCCCACTCACTCTCACAGGCCCCTGAGCCCCCCAGGGAGTCACCAGCACACGCCACTCTCACTGTCTGGGAGAGGGGGCTGGGGTGTTGGAAACTTTAATCAAGCAGGGACGGTTAACAGTTGCAGGGACACCCTAGGAAAGACTGAGCCTTCAAAAGGATGTACTTATGGACTCTGTCCCCATGACCTTTTAAGACTTATGAAAATGACCTGTCATTTCCCGCCATGGGAAAAAACCACAGCCATCACATGCACCCTTCAGGCCCCAGAATCCTCCATGCTTAACCCTCCAGGCAGGCTTGGGCAGAGATGCTCGCTTCTCACAGATGCCCCAACAGACTGCAGAGACCTGGGGATGCGGGTGCATGCTTGCACACTCACACCCATGTGGATGTCTGCCTCTCCCCCCGACACGTTTCTCAGGTGATAAATGTGTTCTTCTGTGTCAGTGGGAACTTTTTCTGGGCAGGCTGGGTGACACTGTTGGGCAGAGCTCTCATCAGACCCATAGGCCTATCACCCCTCCACACACCACTAACCATACACTACGAGCTGCTAGCATGGGGGGAGGACCTCTTTCTCCTTCCTTTTTCCCCCCTGCAGCTGCGGGTTGGGGGAAGGGTTCTGAGGGGGAGGATGTCACCGACTCAAGGTGGGTTTTTCCCACCTCCATACCTTGTCTTGCCCCAGCCTCTTCTCACCCGCAGTGAGCCCTTGGGGGATCACATTCTGATAAAAAGAACTTTAGGGAGCCCTCTGCACCTCTGCTCAGCACGCACACCCTCCCCCCGTTTCCTCTCCTCCATCAGCCAGGCCTCTCAGTCCCTGGTCTTCCTCCACAAATGCCCCCTTTTTCACTGGGGCTGGGAGTAAAGGGACAGTTAGTTTCTGCTGTATAACAAAGTGAATCAGCTATACCTATACATATGTCCCCATATCTCCTCCCTCTTGCGCCTCCCTCCCACCCTGCCTATCCCACCCCTCTAGGTGGTCACAAAGCACCGAGCTGATCTCTCTGTGCTATGCGGCTGCTTCCCACTAGCTATCCATTTTACATTTGGTAGTGTATATATGTCCATGCCACTCTCTCACTTCGTCCCAGCTTACCATTCCTCCTCCCCGTGTCCTCAAGTCCATTCTCTACGTCTGCGTCTTTATTCCTGTCCTGCCCCTAGGTTCTTCAGAACCATTTTTTTTTTTTTTAGATTCCATATATATGTGTTAGCATACGGTATTGGTTTTTCTCTTTCTGACTTACTTCACTCTGTATGACAGACTCTAGGTCCACCTGAGGGACTTGTTAACGAAAGAATTTTACTAGGAAAGTACAAGAGAAGCCAAAACCGAACCAAGAAGAAAGCAAAACCTTGGCTGGTCCAGAGTCTGCCCGCTCAGAACCCAGCCCTGCTCTTTGCCTCCCCTCTGAGAAGCTGCAGTCCATCTTCATCCCCATGCAAGTCCTTTGCTCATCTGCTCCCTGACCCCCAACAAGGTGCATGAATAGTCAGTGCTGAAGGTTTTTCCAGAGGCACACAAACTGTGGTGTCCCTCACCCTCACCCTCAGCCCGGGCTTTCCCAGAGCTTCTGCCTCTTGGACTCAGCTTGCTGGGTTTGGCTCAGATACTGGAACACAGGGGTCACGTCAGTCTGCCAGAAGGCAGGATGGGACAAGGAAGAGGCTGACTGGCCACAGGTGTGATCATTAGGGCAACAAAGGTGGAGGAGGCCAGGGAAAGGCTGTGAAGCGAGAGTCTGGGGGTGTTTACACAGGACAGTCAGTTTGGTCCCAGATACTCTGCATCCTCCAAAGCGTTGCCTCATTCCCAGGAAAGGCTTTGGACTGAGAACTTCTCTGTGTGTGGGATTCTCAGCAGCTCTGTAGCACTACAGTAGAAGGGGAGCCGGGCCCACCCGGAAAGCCCCCAAACTGATGGAGAGAAAAGTCCCACCAAGTCAGGGACCCCCCTTCTGGGAACTCATATCTACTGGGAACCTCAGGATGAGGAGGAGGTAGGGCTCCACACTAGGACCCCTCAATCTGATGGGGAGGATGAAGCCCCACCCTGGAGCAACGATTAGGGAGATCCTCTTTGGTCAGTTGAGCACAAAAGAGCTCTGACTGCACACAGAAAGCCCGTGGACTGGGCAGCCAGGAAAGAAGCTTGGAGCAAATCAGGGTAGTTGATGAGGGTGGGCATTCGGAGCCCAGCACTGTCAAGGTGGGTCTGGGATGCATGAAGGAGGAGCACAGGCAAGACACAGGGACAGGCCTGAGTATTGGTTCTGTGACACCCCCCAGCCCTGAACCCCATGCTCTGGACCTCAGGTTCCCCTCCCCTGCCCCTCTGGCTGGGGCTCAGGGATGCCGTCTGCTTCACTGAACCCATCTGTCTGAGACTGGGTCACATCTTCCTCTTTTGTGACTGGAAGTCACAGGGCAAAGCACTAAGCTGTGCAGTCACGCAGGGAACACAGAGCCTAAGAGTGTGAAGGGACAGAGGGGAGAGTGGCAAGAAAGCCTGGAGCCAGTGGAAGAGGAGGGAGGCGAGTGGGAGCAGAGGTGCTCAGGACCATGGCTGAGGCCATCACCTATGCAGACCTGCGATTTGTGAAGGCTCCCCTGAAGAAGAGCATCTCCAGCCGCCTAGGACAAGGTAAGGGTGGGTAAGGTGTCTCCTTGATTCTGCATCTCCATCCTCCTTGAAGACCCCACTCCCACCCCAGAGACCCCAATCCTGACGCCACCTTTTCTCTCCTCTCCAGACCCAGAGGCTGATGAAGACGGAGAACTCACCTATGAGAATGTTCAAGTGCCCCCAGGCCCAGGAGGACCCTCAAACTTGGCTTCCGCTGGATTAGGGGACAAAGCAGGTCTGGAGAGCCCAGGGGATGTGTGTTTATGGGGGACTGTGTCTTGCGCTGGGGAGTCCACAGCATTCTTGGGAGGACAATACCCTTGGAGAAAGGCTGGGGATTCTCAGGAAGAGAATGAGCACCAATTATGGGAGCTAAGGAAGAATAAAGCTCCCAGCGGGTAAGGTGGAGATCCCGGTGGGGAGCTAGGGCTCCACGGAGGGATCAGGGCAGCCCTGTTGGGGAGCTGAGCGCGCGTGGGAAGTGGGGAGTCCCGGGAGAGAGAAGAGAGGGGAGGGGGGAGGGGGGAGAGCACTCCCGGGGAGAGGGTTTTGGCAGGCAGACGAGGGCCCCCAGAGTAAAAGATAAAGGGAGACCCAGGAGGGCGATAGAGGGTCCCCAGGGAAAGGATAAGGTAAGACCCAGGAGGGACACGAGAGTCCCAGGGGAGATACGGAACTCCGGAGAGCGCTAAGGGTGTCCCAGAGCAGTGGCAGAAGGCACCTTAGGACAGACTGGGGTCTCGGCGCGGTGGAGGGGGTGAGTAGGGTGGGGAGAAGGGGTATTTCCTGGCTTTCCCACCTTCAAACTTGAGTCGATCCCTTCCGCAGGGGTCCAGTCGGAGCAGCCAACTGCCGCCTGGAGCCCCGTGACGTCACCAGCTGCCGGGCGGATTCTTCCCTGTAAGTAACTGGTCCTCCCCGCCCCGCGCGCGCCACCCGCTGCCCAGCTCGTCTCGGGCCAGCGAGTGGGGGCGGGGCGCGGCCTCGGGCTGGGCAGCCCTCCCCCACCAGGCCCCCCGGGGTGGTCGCGGAGTCAGGTGCTGGCACCGGTCCCCGCGGGAGGTGGTGCTGGGCCCCGCGGTGTGCAGGTCTGGCCCACGGATTGAGCCCGGGGCGCAGCCCTCCGGTCAGCCCGGGCAGCCCCGTGACACCCTCCCCTGCCTCTTTCACCCTCATCCTTAGATCTTTCCGACGCATCGACCCAGATCGTCTGCCCCCTTCCCCCTTACTATGGTCCCCATTCACGTACCCACCTCTCGGGTCTCCGTCTGAGATTTAGTTCCCCGTCCTACCAGGTAGTGCCCCTCAGTCCTTACCGGTAACAATCCCCAGCCCTTATTCCGGAACACCTTACCTCCACCACCTGCGGAAACTCTGCCAGACAGAAACCACCACGCGTGCTCCAAGTCCTCTGCGGGATGCTCCTTCCCGTGAATCTCCTCCACCCACACCCACTCAGTCTATCAACTTTCGTGGGGCTCACGGCCCCCCAAACCACTGTCTCCCTAAGGCCAAGCATCCTACGTGCAGTACCTCTTCCTGGGCCTGCTCCTCACCTGCCTGCTGTTAGGGGTGGCTGCCATCTGCCTGGGAGTGCACTGTGAGTATGGCTGCCCCCCATTTCCCATTGCCCCCAGACAACGTTCTCCCCCACTCTCCCCAACAGCTGCCCTGCCTAGCAGGGCCCGGAATCACTACCACCACATCTTCAGCTTTCGTCTGGCTTCCAGCCAGGTCTGTTTCAGAGTGCCGTGACTTCCTAAATTGTCCTCACCTAATCCAGTACCTCCTTAAGCTTCAGGCAGTCAGATCTTATATTCCATTCCAGCCTGTTATGCAGAAAGTTGCAAGAAGCAGCAAAAGGACTGATGCTGAAGCCTCAGGGCACCAGAGCATGGCTGAAGATGTCCTCCAAATCTCTCTTTATGGCCAAACAGATTTCCAGGTGTCTCAGCAGCTCCAGCAGATGAACAGGGTTCTGGAAGCCACTAACAGCACCCTGAGGCAGCAGCTGCGCCAAAAGATAACCCAGCTGGGGCAGAGGGAAGAGGATTTGCAGGGGTCCAGGACGGAGCTGGCCCAGAGTCAGGAAAGACTACAGGTGGAACAGAAGGTTGGCCAGGCTACCAAAGAGCAGTTGCAGGCCTGCCAGTCAGATGGGGAGAAGACAAAAGAGGCCTTGAGAAATAAGGAGATACAAAGGATGAACTTGGAGCAGAGGCTGAGCAGCGTGCAGGACACACTGAAGCCCTTCTTCACATGCCCCTCACCAGGTATCTGCTCTGGGAAAGGGGAGATGGTAGGACCTGCCATGAAGGATGGATTGAAGTGAGGGGTCTATCTATCTATTAGGAAGCCACTGAGTTGTTCAGGAAAGGGGTAATGAACCAGAGTGCTGGCTGACATGACCTGTGCAGCCTGGGCCAACAGGGCGAAGGATCTAGCTGCATACTGGTTTTAGGGAGGGCTCACCCAGCTCTAAGGCTGATCCTGTAGGGGAGAAGAGGGTGGTAGCCAGCAGTGCAAATGACACTGTCCAAAGCAGCAAACTCAGGGCTCACCTGGCTTGACATCAGTGTCAAGGATCTGGGAACCCCCTGAATTTGGATGTGAAATTGATTGTTCGCATGTTTTTCTAAAAAGAGGACCTGTAGCTTTAATTAATTCTCTCTACATCTGAGATTCCCCAAAAGATTAAGAATTACTGATGGATGAGGTACAGTCTGGGGCTGGGGCAAGGCAGCTGAAGCTCTCGCAATGAGGTGGGCAGGGATGTTGTAGGACAGGGAATTAGGGTGGAATGCTCATCCCTTTTGAAAGGAGGAGTCCAGCCCGTGTGTGGGGATGAGGGAGGGGGACACATAGAAGGTCTGCCAAAGTTGGCTGAGGTTGAGGCAGGGTCCCCAGCCCAACGGGACTGGAATGTCCATGGACTGGTTGTCTAGAGGTTAGGCTCTGTCTAGCTCAGGGGCATCTGGCTACTCCCCCAAGGCTTAAAACAGAGAGGTTATGTACAGACACCCCCAGCCCTCATTTCTTTAACCTTCTCATTCTCTACAAGCCTCAGTTCCATGACAGTGCTGCCCCCTCCTTCCCCACAGCTGAACCCTAGACCTCAGCATCCCAAGCTGCTCTTCCGCTGAAAGGATGGCTTCGGGTCTTCACTCTGACCACAGCTGGCCCTCTATAGGCTTTCCACACACTTCTTCTTCAACCTCACGGAGGCCTCCAACCTGCTGGCTCCCCTGTTTCCTCCCTTCCCATCAGCCATCACCTGTCTTCACTTCTCTCTCTACCCATCTTGGATTTGGGGGCCCATCACTTCAGCCAACCCACTCACTCCTCGGCTCCATTGTCCTGGATGAATGCACATGCCTGCACCCAGGGGTGACAAGCTGTGCAGTCATTCTGCTCGGTGCCACAGATCTCTAGTCTCAACTTCAGCTGGGGCCCCAGCACTGCCTGCCTTGGCAAATCTGCAGTGGTCGGCTGGCTCTCTGTACCCTACTACCCTCTCTCTCACTCTCAGCAAATGCCCTCCTCTGTCAGAGAGGAACACCCTCTATTTTTCATCAACAAATCTATATATCCATTTGCATTTTTCTCCATCTTCATGTCTTGCAAGGATAACTGCAACAGCTTGCTGAATGTTTTTCCTAAACGTCCCCCCTCCAAATCCACTTTTCATGTTGCAGCCAGAGTAATCCTTTAAAAACAAAAATCTGATCATGTCATCCCAGTTAAGATCATGTCATTTCACTTAATTAATTACATCAAAAGTTACGGAATACATACTATATGTCTAGCACTGTACCCAGGCACTTGGGATACAACCAGAGTACAAAATGCTTCAGTGTAAAACCCTACATTGACTTTCTCTTGCTCATAATATAAAAATAAAAAAATCCTCAACCTGGCCTCCAAGGCCCCTGCCTACCTTTCAGCATGCTGCTTGTCCCCTCGCCCTCGTCCATTTGGCCACACCGACTTCTTTTTATTCCTTTAAGTTGCTGTTAGACAGTAACCTAAGGCGGTAGCTGGGTGGGGATGAGAAAACGTAGACAGAAGAGAGGGAGCTGGAGGAGAAGGAATGACTTTTGAGTGATGGAGGTAGGACAGATGGGACGAAGCAACGGAGGGAGGTGGGTTGGGATCAGGAGCATAGACTGGGGTGCGGGATGTTAAAGAAAGAGGAGGTTTATTTCTGACAGATAGTCAGGAAAAGAGGAACGGAGAAGAGACAAATTTTTAGGTGGAGAGGAGGAAAATGGAGAGAGTTCACACGTCAAGTGTCTGAATTTCAGCAAAGCAGGCAGCAAGGTTGTCTACTTGTGGAAGAGTGGAGGGGAAGGTGGTGGCTAGCCACTTGAGGAGTGTGGGAAAGTTTGAATATGCAGTGAGAAATGCTTTAGGGAGCCAATGAGATGAATGGGAGGCCTATTGAACACTTGTTTATCGGGGGCCCAGGTGAAGTTAGCCAAAATGGGGGAGTAAACGGCAATTGTTCAGAAATTGGGGATAGTACCACCAGTCCTTTTCAAATAAGCCTCCTATATTTTAAGGAGTAAAGTTGTTGAATGTTAAAGGATTTTACTAAGTATGCACAGATATGGCATTTCCAGGGAAGGCAAGAAAGAAAGATTGCAAAGATTAAGGACCAGAAGTCAGTGAAGGCACTGAGGTTCGACCCCAGGGAACATTGTCAGCAACCAGATTGCTGAGTATTCACTTCATCCCAAGTGTTGAGATCTCCCTCCTGGGTCTGGGCAGTGCTGCCACACTCTTTCTTCTTTTTAGATTCCTGCTGTCCCTTGGGATGGATACCGAATGAGAGGAGGTGCTTTTACATCTCAATTACTAAGAGAAATTGGGAGGACAGCCAAAGGCATTGTAAATCTCTGTCCTCTGAACTGGCCAAAATCAGCGACCCGTCTTATTCATATGGAGTAAGAAAACCCCTATTCAAAGACGGTATGGGTATTGTTGGGTAAAGGGACACGTGTCATCAATCAGGGATGGCAGTGCACACAGGGCGTGCGTCCCTTTTCCATGCAGCTTCTCAGCACAGTGCTCCAGATGGCCCTATTAACTGATTAGGGTTGGCGTGAGAGTTGAAACTTAACGAGCCATCTTTACGTTAACCTGTTTCTCATCTCAGCTTTCTGGTCAGCTCTGGGCTGCTGAACGGGTTCTTTGACTCTCATGGCCTCTCAGGCAGACAGGTTCCATACCTGGTGGGCTGGATTGTAGGGATTGGTTCCTTGTGACCAGAACAGCCCACAGAATGACTCTTCTTCGAAGGCTGGCAGAAATTCTTACCCAGCATGTGTGTGTGCGTGTGCCTGCGCGCATGCACGCACGTGAACTGAAGGGTCAGCCTGCATCTGCAGGGTGGCACTTGAAGGATGCGGGGATGGTCACTGATGAGCCGATGTCATGCACCAAGGTCAGGCACAGTCCTCTTGCCAAAGCTCATAGCCTCTCTAGTGTTCATTTTCTTCCATCAGCCCAGGTGCCCTCCTCCCGACACCCCCTCCCTCCTCCTATTCCAATATTTCCCATCACTCCTCACACACCTCTGGTCTCTCCGAATCTCCCTTCAGTCTTATTATGCCAGAAGCTTACGTAAGGTGTTGGCACAAGGTGGTTCAGCTGAATCATACTGGATTGACTTCAGAAATCAGTTCTGGCAGTGGAGTGATGGTACAAGATACAATGGGTAAGTTTGTTAGGACTTTTGGGCAACAAAAATCCTCTATAATCCCTTCATAAAGACACAGTAATGAGATCTCCCTCCAGGTCCTACTCTCAAAACTTTTTCACAAATCAATGTTATAATTGCCCATTTGTCCACTTCTTCTATTTGATTAATAACAGGCAGGCTTGCTTTCTATTCTATCCCCAGTACCTAGCCGTCCCTGGCACGTGATTTAAAAAAAAAAAAAAATTACCAGTTTGGGACCTATGTCATCTTTCTCTCAGGGGGCTAAGTTGAGGATTTAGCTAGGGCTTCACAGCTGGTAAAGAACCCCGGCCTTCTAACTTATCAGTCCAGACAAGGCTACCCAAACTGAGGTTGTACTTTTTTAGTCAAGGCCACTTGGTATACCAGAGTTGCCCCAGGGAAGTGAGAAAGGAAGCAATGGGGTAACTTTGAGAATCAACCCCAGGGACCCTGAAACAGGGAGTTACCTAACTGGAGTTTCCATCTTTAGGACCTTGGGTGACATTTTCCCCTCCCTGGTCCTCTAGCCTCTTCGGGTTGGGGTCCAGACACCTGTACCTGAACCATCCCACACACGGCTTTAGGTAGGCAGGGTGAGTTAGGACTTGGGTTAGGTTTGTGCAGGGCAAGAGAAGGGAGGATGGGATAGGAGGGGGCCAGAACTTATTCCAGTGCTACATCACCACCCTTTATTATAGTCAAAGCCAAAGATGTACCAAGGTAGATGGCGATTGGCGGGCAAGTCTGAAGGTAGAGGACTGTTATTCTTCTCTTCCCTCCATCTGTGAGCTGGAAGCTTTCAGGTATCCAGATGCGGACCGCTCTTTGCACTGAGCTGGGTAAGTGTCGGGGATGGGACTGAGGCGTGGGAGTCCGGGGGCAGAGGGTCTCAGGGCAGGGGCCCAGAGGCCAGGGGGAAAACTTGTTCCTCTAAGTGACAGCCATGTCCACAGCCTCCAGGCTGTGCTTATGTAAGGGGGTGCTGGGCAGGGGAGGCTGGCTATGTGGCTGTCCAGGGAGTTGGGGAGGAGATGGGCTGAGCTGGATGAGGTTCTTAGGGACAGTCAACTGTGGAGCTCCCTGATGCTTTAATCCTCCAGATACTCACGCCAACAAGAGCCTAAGCTGTAGCCTGCAGGTCCTAAGATCCACCACCCTCCAGCGTGTCCTCACTCTGCCTGGACAGTGCCTGGCCAAGGGCTGATCCATGCCCAACATTTCTAGGCAAGCCTGCTGCCAATAGAGATCCTGTCCCAGAAACTGGACTGTTGCCAGGGAAAGTGTGAAGCAGCTTCTAGAAGAGATTTTGGCCTCCCCCAAAACCTCCCATAGTGGAATGGGTGGGGAGGGCGCACGGGCTGAGCGGATAGGGGCAGCCCGGAGCCAGCCAGGCAGTTTTATTGAAATATTTTTAAATAATTTGCACGTGTTAGTCTCGTGTGTCGGCAACGCTTTGTCTGGTTCAGTGATCCCCACGGGAGAGCAAGCTCAGGGGATGCAAAGGAAATGTTCTGTTCCTCACGTCCATGCCGAGGTTCCCCTCTACAGGGAGAAGAGCTGCTCAGCCCATCCGGGGCTGGCACAGTCCAGCATGTGCTCTCTGTCCTCACAGGGCATCCTGAAGGCCAAGGGTGGAGGCCGGAGACCACAGGCCCCACTGCTAAGAGCGTGCCCCAGGCAGCTGCAGGCTGGTTGTGGGTGGCTTGGCATGGTGCCCCCGGTGGCAGAGGAGACTGCCCGCCTCGCAGTTCAGGTTGCGGTAGCGGGCCACAGCTGGTGTGGGGCGGGGGCACATGGACAGGAAGCCAAAGCTGAAGGGGCTGAGGCAGCAGCCAGGGCAGGGCAGCCCCTCCTCGGACTCCCGGGGGGCTGACGGGGGCGGCGAGGGTTCTGTCCGCTCCAGGGCTGCTGCACGGGGCAGGCTATGCTGGGCCCGGTTCCAGGGCTCCCCAGCCCAGCCTTGTGGGGAGTTCACCACCACGGCTGGGGGGTTGTTGTTAAGGGGGGCTCCTGATCTAGGGGACCAGGGCTGGGAGGCTGAGGAACAAGTGCTGATGAAGTTGTCTGTGGCCACGGCCAGGGGCAGCTGGGGAGCTGGCCCCGGGGCTTCTGGCTCAGGGCTACTGCCCTCACACTCCATCTTCTCTTCAGCCGAGGGGCCCACAGCAAGAGGGCCAGGACCTGGCAGTGCTGTTTCCATACGTCGGGGAAGTTCAGGGGATGATGGTAGTGAGCGGCAGCGGCGGGCAGGTGTCCCAGGCTGGACCAAGGTCTCTGGAGTGGTCACCAAGGGCAGCTGGGTGGAGGGCACTGGTGATGGTGGTACAAGGGGTAGGGGGGCAACTGGCTTGCTGGGTGTGTCCAGGAGCTTGATCTTGCCACCTCTGAGGTCTTCCCGTAGTGAAAAGGGGTTGACTCGAGTCAGATTGTCCCCCCAGTTGGGGGGCGATTCTGGCGATGGGGGCAGGAAGAGGTCTGACCGGCTTCGGGAGAGCCGAGGGTCTGGCCTGGGAAGTGTGGCAGAGGGGCCCCCTCTTGGAACAGACCCTGTAGACAGAGAAGTCTGTGGTCACTGTTCTCAGCATTGATCATAGTTCCCTGAGGGTCTCATTCACCAGGAGGCTGGTGGAACTAGAGCTGAGAAAAGGGAGTCCCACAGGGTGCTTTGGAAAGAGGGAGATGTCCCCTCCAGCCCCCTTTACCTCTTCTTTCCTTGTTCCCCTCCCTCAGGCTCTAGAATTAGAAAACTATCTTCTCTGAGATATCCTCTCACCCCACTCCCGCCCCCAGGCTCCTCAACTAATAAAAACACTTAGTCTCCCCGGGTGATTCTGAGTTCTAAGGAAGAGAGAGGCAAAAGGACCCCAGTTGTGCTCACTTACCCTGACTGTGTGCCAGGGGAGCCCTGAGGAGGGGGGCTGGCTCAGGCAGCTGCTCCAGGATCCATTCCAGGTGCTGGGTGATTTCAGTGAAGGGAGCACGAGTGCTAGGTTCCATCTGATGGGGAGAGACGGGCAGCTTCACTCAGTGCTCCAGAAGAGGGTCCCTGAGTTTCCTCCTGTCATCTGGGCCGGCTGCCCTTGTCAGATGGTGGGTGGGGGTGGGGGCAGGGAGGGAGTGAGGCTCTTACACTGCAGCAGTGGATGGCCAGGAGCAGGAAGGGCAGTGGGCAGTCATCCCCTACCAGGGTTCGGAAAGCAGGCACATCCAGGCCGAAGTCCTGTGGGGACAGAGAGGAGGGGCCTCCAGGTCAGCCTTCCTCAAGTTCTCCTGCTGTCCCCCAGTCAGGACCTCAACCTCCAGGGAACCCTCCCTGGTTATGATGTGCCTAGTCTGGAGTTCCTCCTTTTAAACCTGGACGCATCATTCACCTCAGTACGGGGTAGGTAGTCAGGGTCCGCAGGTACTCGTGCGATGAGCTCACAGAGGACAATCCCAAAGGCAAAGACGTCGGCCTAGGGGTAGGAGCGAGTGTCAGGGGGAGGCATTGACAGTTTCATGTAAGAATTTTGTCAGAATACGTCAGAATTTGGGGGAGTCTTGACAGTTTTCATGTGTTGGAAGGGGTGTGAGGGGTAAAGGGGATCTTGGGGGTCTTCTGAATTATCTGGTAGGGTTGCTGAGGAACTTGGGTTGGAGCCTTATAAGAGTATCTCAAGGGTCTCTGGAAGGCCTTGGGGATCTGAAGAGTTGATATCTTACCTTCTCATCATACAGCTCACCCCGCAACACCTCTGGAGCCATCCAGTATGGGGAACCCACCACAGCCAACGGCTCCTTCCTTGCCCCTTCCCTGCAGGGGCAGGGGCAGAGTGGTCAGGAACATCCTACTCAGACACCCTCCCCAAACAAAAGGGGATGAGGTCAGCCCCCTCGCTACCCCAGGGGAAATGTCCCTGTGGGCTTCACTTAGATAAGGGGCATCTGGGAGATTTAGGGGGATGGGGCATTCACCTCACCTATACACAGGAATCTTTTCAGCCAGCCCAAAGTCGCCCACAACAGCTGTGAAGCCTCGGTCTTCCCGCCGGATCAGACAGTTCTGACATATACATATAGCATCCCCACATACCCATTACCTTCTGTTCTCTGATCTCCCAAAATGCACCCCAAGGACCCGTCACTCCAGAATAACCCCAACCCTCTCTGATCTCCCAGTTTTCCAACACACACCAATCTTGCAACATCATCCGTCACTCCAAACACAGCATGGTACCCAGTCCCTCAGAGCACTCCCCTCACCCCAGTCCCCCATTCTCCAGTGTCTTGCTGCCCCAACATCCTAATGCTGTCTATTATCCGCATTCCAATACCCACGGGCTAGTTACAATCTAATCTCAAATCCCCTTTCATGCCTCCACCCACCTGGCCAGCCTACCTTGGATGTGAGGTCTCGGTGGAATACACCTTTGGCATGCAGGTACCGCAGGCCGCGGGCGATGTCCAAAGCCAGGCGGAGCCTGACAGGCCAGGATAGGGGTTCGGGGGAGCTGAGCAGCTGTTCCAGGGTCCCCCCATTCATATACTGGGACATAGGGGTAGGAGAAGGGGAATGGATATCAAAGTTTCAGTCTGTTCTCTAGGTCTCCCACTTATAAGCCTGGGGACACTCAGGAGGATCACAAAGGTCAAGAGGGTGAGTCTGTGCCCTAGGGTCCCCCATTCATATCCTAAGGCTAGCATGTCCCACACAGGTGCACCTATTTAAATTTAAATTATTAAGTTTAAATAAAATTAAACATTCCGTTCCTGTCACACTAGCCACATTTCCAGTGCTCCTTAGCCACATGTGGCTAGTGGCTATGGTTTTGGACAGCACAGCTACAGAACATTTTTATCACTGCAGAAAGATCTGTTGGACAGCACCCTTCTAAAGGATAAAGAGGACTGGCACCAGCTGAGGCCTTTTATTTGTGGTTTGCCTGAAGGGAAGTTCAGGGAAGCCTCCCCCGGGTCCTGTTGCCTCTCATTACTCCTCTGTAGATGCACCAGGCCGCTGACTCTCTCTCCCCTTGGTGGTGGTTGTGGTGGAGTCCCCCCCTTCCTGGCCCATCCTCACCTCTGTAAGAGCGTGCAGCTGCCCTTGGTGCACACAGACCCCCATGAACCTGGAAGAGGATGGGAAAGATAGCAGTGTAGGCTGTAAGAGCCCCGGCCGCTCCACAGTTCCCACTTTTCCCGCGGGATCTTTCCCCTATCCCCCAGCAAGCTTCCCAGCAAGCGGCTGGGGCCGCTCACCTTAGAATGTTGGGGTGCCGGAGCCGGTTCATCAGCTGCACCTCCCGCAGCGTGTTTCCCCGGTTACTGGGGAGCCTGTTCATTTTCAGCACCATGACTTGCCCTGACTGTCGGTGCCGAACCTGGGGGCAGCAGGGGATGGCGAGTCCCGCGCAGGTCGGGCGGGTCGCCAGGGTCCGGGCCCCCTAGTTTCAGCCTGGCGTCGAAGTCTCGGTCCCGCCCCTCTGCCCTCTCTGCTGGTCCTACCTTGTAGACCTCAGAGAAGAAGCCGGCCCCGATCTTCTCGGCGCAGTGGAAATCGTCCACGCGCGCCAGGCTGGACACGGCGCTGCGGAGAGCCCGGTAGGAGGAGGGGCGGCCCCGGCCCGGGCCTCCGCCCGCGCCCCCGGGCCCCGGAGGACCCTCCCCCGGCGCCTCTCCGGGCCCGGGCCCTGGGCCCCGTAGTGGGGGCCGTTCCCCGGCCATGGCCGGGCCCCCAGCCCGGGGCCTGCCTCACATGGCAGGGTCCCCGGGGCCCGGGCAGGCCGCGCTCGCCATGGGAGCGGGCCCAGCCCGATCAGGGGCGCAGGGGCTCCCGCTCCCTCTCCCGCTCCCGCCCAGGAGAATGGAAGATACGCCGAAGATCCTGGGCCCGCCCCCGCCGCGCCGGCTTGCTGGGCCCGGGTGGACGCCGCTCCGCTCCGCTCCGCGCAGGGCCTGGGCCAGGGCCTGGGCCTGGGCCGGGCGGTGGCGGTGGCGCTCCCGGGCGCCGGCGGGCAGGCGGGCGGGCTCCCCACAGGCGGAGGCGGGCGGGCGGGCGGCGGCTGCTCAGCTTCGCCGCTGGGGCTCAGGCTCCGCGGCCTGCCGGGGCGGGGCTGAGCCGGGCCTCTGCTTAACTCCTTCGAGCCCGGCCTCCGGGCAGCGGCCACGCCCCCTCAGGTGCGCACCCCGCAACCCGAAGCCCTAGGCGAGTGGGTCTGCGACGTCGGGGTCAAATAAGTTCAGGCCTGAGCTGAATAACTGAAGGGAATTCAGGGCTGATTGTGCGTACGCGCAGCTCAAATGTCTTTTAGCTGCCCTGGGAATCCTTTCTCCCCTCCCTCCCTCAGGTCACTGTCGGTTGAGGGTCTGGCTCCGGAAGCCGCCAGATTCCTGGGCTCCAAGGACCGGCAGGGCAGAAAAGTAGACCACTCTGGCCCAGCTACAGTCGGAGGTAGCCCAGCAACCTACCCGCCTTCCCAGCCTCTGCCCTGGCCCAGCCTGCCCATTTCCCAGTTCTCGACCTTTACACCTTAAACCTCTGGACTCCCTGACACTTTCTACCTTCTCGGGCGGTTGTGATGCTCCGGAGCTGTAGTGAGCCCTTGGCCAGCCCATTCCGGGTGTGGCCCCGACTCCTTCTCACTCCATCCCGCCTCCCTTGAAAAAAGTTCAGATTCCAGAGCCTCTGTCAAGTGACCACCCAGCCTGTACCTTACTCTTACTATTTCGTCCCTCTCTCTCAAAAGAGAAGCCTCGACCTGTAGGGAAGCCCCTCTTTGCGCAAGATCCCACCCCTTGGCAAAACCCCGCCCCTCAAGGAGCTGTTCCCCTCGGAGACCCCTCTCTTTTTCAGTGAGACCTCTCCTCAGTATGGCACTGCCACCATCAGTGTGTACCAGAATCCCTCAGGGCGACACCCCTCCTTTGTGTGTTCCTCCTACCCAGTGAGACCCCACCTCTCAGAGTGACTCCACCAGTCATTGTGACCCCTCCTCTCGACGTGAGTCCGCCCCTCAGTGTGACCCCTCTAGGCAGGTACCGCCCGCATCACGTAGGAATCGGGTCTGGCCCCTCAGGCGGGAGGAGGACCTGCAACCAGCCTCTAAAGCGGTGCGGGGTCCTGAGTGCGCACGCAACGTTTCAGGACCCTGTGCGCTCGCCGTACCCAACGCTTTCGGTTCTCCGCTGGCTCCTCCCCCCCGGTCATCGGCGGAATAGCCAATCATCGTCGGGGATGGGTGACGTCACTCGATCCCGGCGACTGGGCTGGGTCTAGCGGTGGTGGGCGTCAGTGAGCCGCTTGCCACCTAGCGGCGGCGTGGAGGGAGGCAGGTGGGCCTCTGGAGTCAAACGGGCTGCGACAGAGCTTGAGGGAGCAAGGCTGAGTTCTTTTCAAGTATTCTAAAGTACTATATTTCTATTTCTGTGGTAAGCTAAAAGGAAAATTAATTGCACAGTCCGCGTCCGTGTGGGTGACCGCCTTCTGACAGAGTCCTGTCCCATGTTTGTAGAGAGTTAGAGTCTCAGCAAAACAAGCTCATTCATCACATTAAGTGTTAACATCTACAACTATGTAATTTGTAAGTTTGTTTTCTATAGTCGTATAAGATCTGTAAACATTAGGAATTTATGCCTCCTTTTGTTTAAGTAATAGAATAATTTAATCGACTCGTGTCTGACCCTTTACCCAAGTTTGAGAATATCTATAGCTGGTAATAGTAATTCTAAGCAGAGGAGCCAGGTTCCTGTTTTAGACAGATTATTGTGGTTGTATGGAGGCAGGGAGACTAATTAGGAAAGAGGTGCTGACAATGCTTCTGGTGAGGAGAGGATGAGGACTGAACTAGGGTAGGGATAATGGGGAAGGGGAGGAGGAAACAATCACCTAGAATGGGAAGACTTGATTGATCAGTATCCAAAGTCAGTCAGTCCTGTAGAGAGAAAGAGCATCAGCCAGGATAATTTTAAAGTTTCTAGCTTAGATGACTGAGTATCAACTGAGATAAAGAATCCAGGAGGAGGAAAGGTTGGGGGTGGGGGAGGTAGGTGATTGCCATGAACGAAGGGGTGATGTGATGGTAAAGAAAACTGAAGGTGGTTGCCATTATCCAAGTAGGGAAGGAGAGATAGGCTGACAATGGACTTCTAGGGAACACCAACAGTATTAAAGTGTGGGTGGATGAAGTCCATGAAGGAGACACAAGAAACATGCTGAAATATAGGAAGAGAATTTTTTTTTTGAGAGTGTGTAAAATTATTTAGAACAATAAAGCGTAAGTGTTTATAATGTAATTTCAAATTCAAACCTGTGTATGAAAGGGTCAGGATTTTACCTGTTTTAAGAAGTACACATACAGTATACACATCACATTTTACAACCTTTTTTATTTAACTAAAGTCATAATAAAACTGTTTAGAATAGAGTTGACACATTTACATTACAATATGCAAACTCCAGTCTATGACTGAACTAGCAATATATCTGTGTATCCATCTGAATGTCTGAATACTTTTCAAGTCCACTGATTTAAAAAATAGTGGCGGGACTTCCCTGGTGGTCCAGTGGTAAAGAATCCGCCTTCCAATGCAGGGGACGCGGGTTCCATCCCTGGTCAGGGAAGTGAGATCCCACATCTACAAGTACTGAGCCCACGCGCCCTGGAGCCCGTGCGCCACAACTAGAGAGAGAAAAACCTGCACGCCACAAGTAGAGAAGTAGAGAGAAGCATCTCAGCGAAGAGCCCACGCTGCAGTGAAAGATCCCGCATGCCTCAATGAAGACCCTGCGTGCCTCAACGAAGACCTGACACAGCCAAAACAAAAAACAAAACAAAAGAACACTGGTGGCAAGTGGAATCCAAGGAATGGAGAGTTTAGGAAAAGTGGAATAATGAACAGTATTAAATAGTGCAGAGGGGTGTGCTAAGATGAGTTTTAAATGTTCCTTGAGTCAGGCTACTAGAAGATCCTTTTGTTGTTGTTTTTTCAAACTTTTTATGATAGAAAATGTCAAACGTGAAAAAAAGAAGAACATATAGAACAATGAACCCTTATTTACCTTGGGTAAGACCATTTTGTTGGAGACCCATTGTTCAAAAATCACCCATGCCTCAGTTATACTGTTGCCATAAGTGACCAGGCCGAGGTGAAAGTATCTGCTTTTATGTAACTTCTATGCCAGTGATCCTCCAATAATCAATTCATGGGCAATCTTGTTTCATCTATACTCCTGCTCTTTCCCCCTACCCAGTTATTTGGTGCATATTTCTGATATTATATCATTTCATCAATAAATATTTCAGTGTGTTACCTCTAAAAGATAAGGTTTCTTCTTTAAAACAAAATCACAGTACCATGTCACACCTAAAAAAAAATCCCTTAATATCATCCAGTATCTCGTTGTTCATATTTCCCCTGTTGAATTATACTTAGTTTTAAAAAATTGTTAAGTTGAATCAAAATCTAAATAAGGTCCATGCTTTGAAGCTGATATGTTTCTTACATCTTTAACTCCATCCACTATCTTTTTTGCCTTTTTTTTTTTTTTTTAAAGAAACCAGGGCATTTGTCCTGTAGAGTTTCTCAGAGTCTGAATTTTGCTGAGCTTCTAGTGTGATTTAGCATTTCTTCAGTCCCCTGTATTTCCAGTAAATTGGTAGTTAGGGTCAATTAGGTTTATATTTGATTATTTTGGCAAAACTAATTTGTGGGTGGTTTAACACTTTTATCATGAGGTATACAGTGGTGGTCTTTTTGTGATGTTAGTAACTGATGATAATCATTGTCTAGACCAGAGTTTGTCAAATGTGGCACTATTGACATTTTGGACTGGATAAATTCTTTATAGTAGGGGGCTGTCCTGTGCATTGTAGAGATGTTTAGCAGTAGCATCCCTGGCCTCTAGCCACTGGATGTCAGTAGCAACTCCCGCATTTGCGATGACCAAAAATGTCTCTAGACATTGTCCGTTGTCCCCCTGGGGGCAAAATTGTCCCTGATTGAGAACCACTGGTCTAGGTTCATTAATATAGGAATTCAAAAATAACATTCTCATTCTGTCCTTCCTTCTTTATTAGGTAGAATACCTCTACAAAGAGAAACTTATCCACGTTAAACTATTTGCTCCTCAGAGATATATTTTATGTGGGAAAGGCACGAAAAATGCTTGATTGTTTCCCTTTTATAGTACCAGCTTCTCAAGTAGTGAGTTGGTTCTGAAGCATCCTCCAACAGTGACCAATGAGGTTTGCTTTTTTTAGTACCATCATGAACTCATAATTTAACACATATATGATGTGCCTCAATCATTGGCAATTAAAAAATTCATTTTTGATTCTTAAATTGTCCTTTTTTGGCCACTGGACACTTATTCAAGTTGGCTCCTGAGTCCTTTTGACATGACCTTTAAGAAACCCTCCCTTAAGGTCTCTTGGATTTGATATAATAAAATGTTCCAGGCTCATTTTGTGCATTCCTAGGCCGGAGCTGGTATCAGCTATTTTTTCCAATGATTCATGGTCCTTTCAGTTGGAAATGGTATTTAGAGACCACAATATGGGTACTAGGGATATAAAGTTATTTAACCTTAGGAAGAGCAGTTAAATGAATATATTGATAACGTATTCTTTTCAGAACAGTCCCCTCCACCATATCTTTTTTTTAAAAATTTATTTATGTTATTAATTTTTGGCTGCATTGGGTCTTCATTGCTGTGCATGGGCTTTCTCTAGCTGCAGTGAGCAGGGTCTACTTTTTGTTGCAGTGAGCAGGCTTCTCATTGTGGTGGCTTCTCTTGTTGCGGAGCACGGGCTCTAGGCACACGGGCTTCAGTAGTTGTGGCATGTGGGCTCAGTAGTTGTGGCGCATGGGCTTAGTTGCTCCGTGGCATGTGGGATCTTCCCAGACTAGGGCTCGAACCCTTGTCCCCTGCATTGGCAGGAGGATTCTTAACCACTGCGCCACCAGGGAAGGCCTAACTTCAAGGCTTTAAATTCTATTTATACCCTAATGACTCCCATTTTTCTCCACCTCAACCTCTCTTCTGAAATCTAGACTCCCGTATTCAATTGCTTATTTATCATGTCTAGTTGGATATCTAGTTGGCTTTTCAAATTCGATGGGTACAAAACAGAGCTCTTGAATCCTCCCCCTCTTCCCCAGCTTTTCTCTAAGGTTTCCCCGTCTCAATAAATGCAGCCTATTAGGTACCCAGGCAAGACAATTTAGAGTTATCCTTGATTCCTCTCATTCTCTCTATCCTATGTCCAGCCCATCAGTAATTTGTGTATGTTCTACGTTTGAAATCTATCCGTAACCTGACCACTTCTGACATTTCCACTGCCTCTAACCCAATCTAAGCCACCACTGTCTCTTGCCTGGGTTGTTGCAGTAGCCTCCTTTATAGTCTCTCTGCTATGCCTTTGTCTCCTTGCAGCCTATTCTCTACACAGTAGCCCGAATACCCTTTTAAAGTGTAAGTTGAATCATTTTGTCACTCTGCTCAAAACCTCTCACCTCACTGAGAATCAAATCCAAAATCATTCCTATAGTTTTCTAGTATTTATACCTTTGCTTTCTATTCCTTTGCTTAAGACCGTCAATACAATGTTGAGTGAAGTAGTGGTAGTAGACACTCGTGCTTGTTCTTGATCTTTAAAAGAATGCTTTTAATGTTTCACTATTAAGTTTTATGTTAACTGTAGGTTTTTTTGTAGCTACCAATACCAATCAGCTACTATCACAGAAGTGCCATGTAACTAGCCATGTCAAAACTCAGTGGCATACACTTGCAGCTGCATGGATGGACCTAGAGATTATCATACTAAGTGAAGTAAGTCAGACAGAGAAAGACTTATGATATCACTTATATGTGGAATCTAAAAAATGACACAAATGAACTTATCTACGAAACAGAAACAGACTCACAGACATAGAGAACAGACTTGTGGTTGCCAAGGGGAGTTGGGGGAAGGAAGGATTGGGAGTTTGGGGTTAGCAGATGCAAACTATTATATATAGAATGGATAAACAAAAAGGTCCTACTGTATAGCACAGGGAACTATATTCAATATCTTGTGATAAGCCATAATGGAAAGGAGTATGAAAAAGAATATATATATA